GTGTAATAAAATGGCAAAGAATTTGAACAAGTAATTTAGAAAATAATTGTTTCAGTGTCATCAAGATCTCCTGCATTTTTTACATTAGAACTAGAAATATAGAACGAGAAGCCGAACGTGTTGGCAATCCGATACTCGGGACGAGTCGAGTCCTGAAAGTATCTCGTAATTCGAGATTGTCGGAATTCTTGAGAATTATAAAATTATATTATATCTATCTCGTATTTTGTTATATATTTATTACGTATATTTAAAATTCTGGAGTAGTGTTAAAGTCTCCGGGATACTATCTCGAATTACGGGATACTTTCAGGAACCCGATCCGATCCCGAGAAAAATTCACAACCAACAATTAGGTCCCGACCCAAAGTATTCGGGTTCTCGCATACCTCTAGATATAACATAAATTATAATAGCACTTGACTTTAGTTCGGAGCAAGGTAGACTTTGATCGTATAATCAAAATTATGTGCAAAAGTTTCGCTACTATAACTACGAATTAAGATAACTAGCGTTATAACGTGAATAATAAATCATCTTCAATTCCTAGAAATTAACTTTTTTCAGCGTAATAATATAAGAATCAGTGTTATTTATCAGAAGACACAGTGCTATTTAATTGCTTTTTTCATATGGCAATACGAATAATCACTTAAAAGAAGTAATAATTATTCAATACCTTTGAATCTCTGAAAATTAAAGACGAATTACAATCAGAGCTTCATCGTAACAAAAGATTCTGGAAAATGAGGCTGTTTTCCAGCGTTTCTTGGAAGCATTTCACGATTGTATAATTGCATGCTTGTTTAATATCGTTCAATCTATTAAGTATTTGCCCGTTTAAGCTCGTTCATGATTGTAACAAAAAAAAAAAAAAAGAAAAAAAGAGAAAAATGCTGGAAATACGAAGAAACTTTTAATTCGTAGCCGATTAAATATTAAAATCGAATCGAATACGCATGGCGATGTTTATCATTTTCCATTTACGATGGAATTTTTCTAATCACAAGATACCGAGCTGACAAAATATTTGTCGACGCTGCAATGTCCGACCTACCTAACGATCCATGAAATGTCTCATCAAGGCTCGGCCACGATCGGATATAACAAGTTTCGACATTCGACTCTGCGTTCTACGCTAATTTGTGATAATTTTAACGTCGAGTCAGCTTCATCGGCTGCGTTCAGGTAACTCGAAATTGGATAATCTCATGCGAGGACACAGATATTTACAAAGTATCTGAGAGATATAGATGTACCGAAAAATTACGCCTATTTGGCTAGCTGGATCATCTGTTCTCAGTGTACGTTAAACGATCGTTAACGAGAGAAAAAAAATCGTTCAAGTCGCTGGTAAAATATTTCGCGTTTTAATTTGTCGCAAATTCAAGAACGACAGATAGCAAGCGCGCTCGCGAGTATTTCACATCCATACGTTTCACACTTGTCTGAAGATCGCGGAACAATTTACCTCTATTTTTTTTCTTTCCTATATGTGTAGCTCGACGAGAAGTAATTTCATGGCCGACAATGACAAAAGAATCTGTGATACGTTTTACCAAGATCGAACAACGAGAAACAAAGGCGAAACTGTTTGACGTTGTTCAATGGCGTCCAACTATTTTTTCTTCGATATCGCTGGCAAAGAAAAGTAACGATAGGTATATAACAATAATACGTTCGTTTAATGGAATTCGAGATTCGAATCATTGAGCGAACGCAGATACGTCGAAGAAAACTGCAGAAACTTTCTCCGACTATTTAGATTCTTTTTCTCCTACTGGTATTAAATAATAATCAACGATTAGATAGAATTGCGCAATCGTGTAACCTTTATTATCGTAACAGCAGCGTGAACATGCGGACAGTTTTACTCCCGATACTTGTATCTACAGACACGAGATCCTCAGAGAAATAAATAATCCGCGCAAGCCTCATCTTACGCAATCCAGAAGGATTACTTTACAACCACGCACATTACTCATTCCTATGCTAAATTTTACTTCCCGCAACTTCATCGCTCATCAGAGAAACTGTCCCGCCAAGTGGCGCGTTTCTTTCGATCCTTTTCAAATCTACACGACTTCTTTAATTCTTCGATGCACACGATTTTTTCATATAGTATGATCCATATAATCATTTCAATTCTACGACTTTTTCAACTTATTAATTTGTTCAATCCTATGATCGACGCCAACTTACAATGTTTCTCAATTCTTCGATGTATCGATGCTCCGATAGAAACGATCTTTCCAATTTGCTATGATCTTTTTCAATGCTACGACCCACACCGTAATCGACATAATATTTTCAAAGGTGTATTATAAGAATTTCAAATGGCACGATCTTTTCAATTGCCCGATCAATAGAATTCTGTTAATTCTGCGATCGATAGGATCTTGTCGCGTGTTGTCGTACGGCCAAATTTTGTCAATCGAACGACGAAAACGGTTCTCACGACTCACCGAAGAGCGTATCGCCGAACGCAGGAAACACCCCGTTCTCGAACGGATCGACGAGACGTAACATGGAACAATAGAGATCGCAACAATTCGTGACACTATGTGGAACGGTTCTGAAAATTCTTACCACAAGCCAGAAGATCGGTAAGAAGAAGAGGAGGAGGACGACTGAGGAGCTGATCGTTCGCCACGATCGGCCGCGAACGCTCCAACGACAGAAAATCGGAGAGGAACGAACGGCGAAGAAAAGCGCGGGAGACGCAAAGCGCGATTGGTCGGCGGTGGTTTCGAGGCGGATTGCCGCGGACCCGAAGCGGATTGGCTCTCCCTTCTTCCGTTTCGCCTGGCAACGACCGCGCAAAAGCGCTTTTCAGACGGGCCGCGATAACCGGAGTATCGCGATTCGCGACCGTCTCTCAGCGGCCGTAGTCTTCCTTCTCCTCCTGCGTTCTGGGACCAAACGAGTGAATCATAAGAAAGCATAACACAGATAGAGAACGTTCGCCAACGACGACGATAGGGGTAAGAGGCGAGAGAAGCGCGTATCAAGGGCGAAGGAGAGGAAGGAGCGCGCGAGGGCAGTGATTTATTGTGAGCGTTCGAGACGCAGGAAAAGAGGAAAGGAAAGGAGATGGCGGAGGAACGGAGTGGTACGGTTCGAAGGATTCCTCGCAGAGGTTATCTCAGAACCGATACAATAGAGACGGCGTCGATTTCCCGGGTGTTAGACAGACGAAACAACGCGCAGAAATGCTTCTAACAATAATATCGAGACGGCAGATAAGCAGAGAAAAATAGCGTGGAAATGCAATCGACCCCATCCCGAGTTCCGAATGGAAATACAGAACGTAGAGGGAGACTGGAGGATTTAGAAAGAAGAGGAGTGACGAAGTATGTGTCGTATGGAATAATTGTTATTTATGAGAATTTAAGGGAGGATTTGCATAGTATCTGTATGAATTCGAGGTGGAAACGTATCGAACGAAGAAGGCGTGTCCCTTTATGTATGAGATACTTATGCATAAGATTTTAAGGGATGAAAGGGATACCATGCTACTTACAAGAAACTTCGTAGATCTTAAAAAAACGAAGTAAGCAAAGCTATTGCGTACTTACTACGACAAAACGATCAAGAACTGTTTTATCAATACCCGATATGTTAAAGAATAAACGTGCTAATATACGACGTTGTGTACATGGTTTTTTACTTAAGCGAAAACTACGTTTTTTCGTCAAATGTATGAAGACCTGCAGCGCGACTAATTTTTAACAAATTGTATTTCTCTTTATCAAAGGTCAAACGAAAACTATATATTCCACTGAATGAAAATAACGTACCGTTTCGGAGTAGAGGCCGACTCGTAAAACACGAAAAAACGGCTTGTTGTTCGTACGATGCAGACGTATTTAAGTTACACGTTAACTGAAATAAAGCGCGAAAATCGTTTAAAAAAGAGACAAATAAATTCGTGGAATTTGGAGCAGAATAATCGTACGTTTGAAAAAGAGGTAAGAAGAGGAGAGAAAAAGAAGAAAGGAAAGGAGGTATCGTGGCGTTCTCATCGACGACGGCATAAACAAGTAGAAGACTCGCCTAAGGATACCTATTTAATAAAGAGAGAAACCGGTACGATGAACATGCGAAACTCTTTATCGTCTTGTAGCGCTAACGGTGGCGTTAGCTCGATTAAGTTGCAGAAATCTTCGCAATTTCTCTAATTCCTCCAATTAATCATTCCGGTATATCCATAAACCAGGTTGGGAAGAAGAAACGTAGCTAAAACATTAGTAATCCAGACTTGTAAAAAAATTTTGATAAAGAAAGCCACGTGAAATTTATCTCCTCTTACGTGGATGATGCAACATACGAAACGTTGTCTCTTAAACCCAAAGAAAACTGCGTCATTCAATAGCAAGAAAAGTGAGCTCGTTTGAGTTTCTTGAACTCTATGATAGCAACAACAACAACAACAACAACAAAAAAAAGGAAATAAAACGGAATTACTGTGGCAATGAGCGCACACGTTATTAATTCGTTGGAGTGCTTTGTTGCTGAAATTAAAAGCACCAATGACGTATAAAACTTGGATGAAAGAAATGAAAATAAAAAGAACACATCTTTATTCGTATATTTTACAAAACAATGATTAACATCTTAAAAAATATAGGTACCTAAATTTATAAAATATCTATGCAAAGTTACGAGTCGATTATGTTTTACTGCTTTTATAGTCCTAGAATATAGTGACGATTACGACTAATAAAAGAAACGGGAAATTCTCTACGTCCAAATAAAATTTATATAAATATCGCATTAAGCGTGCGGTATAAATCACTCAAAGTCTCGACGTAAGACGCAAGTGAGAGATGAAAGACAATAAAAAAAGAAAAGGAAAGAAAGAATTGAAAATACCACACACAGAAACAACTGGTTTCGACTGGAGATATCAATTACCAGGCCTATGTAGGCATGATCCAATCGTTGAATATTAAACAGTAATAATGAAGCATACGCATATGGAGATGGATCAAGTTTACCGTGTCGATAAGGCTCGATCAATGCATTTCCGGTGCATCGAAGTTGCAGAAGCATTTGAAGGTGCTCGTGCCCCTGTTCCAAGGTACAACTGTTGGTCCTCCTAAGTTCTTGCCGCCTTTTCTCAAGATCGGGTGCCATGAGGTCTCCGAGGACCAGAAGGCCCGAGAAGTGATCTTCTCTGTAGTTCTCAAGCGTATATTTCACGCGTCGATCGACGATCTCCGAAGATTGAAACGATCGATCTTCGCGCTTTCACTTCGCACTGCCTCTCCACACGATTGAGCCTCGTCGTACGAGCAACTTGTTCCATATCACTCTCGAGGTGCACGTGTTCTAAGTTACCTCCGTTCGCGAATCGATCGATCGATCGATTTAGGCAATCGTTTGGTAAAAACTTGATTTTGGATCGTTTCCAAAAAAAATTGCCAGTCTCAACGTGTGTATGTAGTCTCTGGTACGATGATCGAATCGAATGGAAATTCGTGAAAAGAGGTTTCTCTCTTCCTCTTTCTTCCTTTCTGTTTACAATGAAGAATCGAGAAAAATGAAATGAATTCCGAAGAAAATGTCTATCTTTCTCTGAAATAGCAGCACTTTCTTAACCAACACAGCACCAGTTCGATGTTGTTCACACGATAATATGAACGATCAAGCAAACACAAACGAATCGATATACCGTTCAAGGTACATCGCCTGATCGCAACGACTGTCAGACGCACACTGGCGTTTCTTGTCTCGTCGTCGATCGGCCAACCCGGCATGGTTTGAATAGCGAGTAAATAAGCCCCCACCATGAACGCTCACGCAACACGTTTATACGTTCCTGCATCCCCGACCAGCTTCGGATATATCGAGAAGGAAGGTGACCAATCAGCAGCCGCTAATTACCCCACTGTCTATCTATCGCATCTCGAAGCTACTGGCTGAAGCCCGACACATCGCACACAGTTCTTCCCGGCGAGCAGTTTTTATCCCTATAATTTCATCCCCAGTTCGTTTATTTTCGGGGGAAAACGATGTTGACGATGATCCAACACACGTTAAGGTGGACCTATAATTGCTCCGCCTGATCGACCGTTGGAAAATGTAAAAATTGCACGCTTATTGCGGGGACGTTCGATTTACGTGTCTAATTTAAACCAAGGGTGAAATTTCAGCTCTTGCGAATTTTATTTTAATATTATCGTCCAATAATAACACAATCAACTTTCTATTTTTTATCTGCTACTGAAGAATAAATAGACCGAGGACTGTGAGTATTTTGTAGATTCATAACTTGTTGAATACAGCTGAAAAACTTGTATCTATTAAAAGAAAATATGCAAAAGGAAAAACGTACGAAACGATTTATTGTAACCACTAAATATTCAATTTCGGTCGTATACCGTGCATCTTTACACCCAGAAATTTTCTATAAATGCGGACAACACGCATCTACGTATCTACGTATTCAAGGTTTAAAAATTTCTATATGGGAAGAGAAAAAATTTGTTTCTAGTTTTACGATGAAGCAGAAGCGGTAATGAATGGGTCGGTGGGCAAGAGAAAATTAAATCTGAATATTTTAACGTGTTTCACGTCGGAACAAAGCAACAGGTAGCCTCCAACATGCCCGCGCTCTAATTGGCAAGCTTCGAGTCAGTTTCGAATTGGTTTCGCCCCGAAACGACGAAATATAGACGGCGACTTATCTTTCGGGGATATTGTTTGCATAACGAGTAACTGTACGGCTGGAGTTAAGTTAGAACTCATTATCGTTCGAATAATTACGAACGGTACCGTATTAACCCTTCGTACGAAAAAATCGCTGAGTAACGAACCACTTTGTTCCCTCGCGGTTCTAATTGGTTATAGTGCTTGAACTTTTTACAGCAATTTTGCAGTTTACCGTTGTATAACGAGTTAATATGGCGATGAACATTATGGAGAAGTCAAGGACACGTGCTGACGACTTCGCGTGTACCCGATGGATTAATTTTTCATGAATTTTTATTACTTTTATACTTCGATTTTGATGGATGGATCTGTTACAAAATGAAGCTTTCTGAACGAAAGTTTTCCAATTAAATTTCTACACGATCAAACAGTTGTTCGATTGGTTGTTATTCGTCGTTATTTCCTAGGATGAAATTTTCTATCATCTGCTAGTCGTTTTCTTTTTTTACTATTATTTTCTCGAATTTAAAGTCACGGCTTTTGAAGGATACGTGAAAGATCGAATATCTGAAAGAACTAGATCTACTGGATGTTTAAACTGTTGACGAGGCTATAAAATGCGACGCCGTTCCCATAAAATCAGCTCATTTGATTGCAACCTAACTCTATTGTCCCCTTCTCCTTTTACTTTTCCAACTTCTCTATGGATTCTTCCCCCTTGGCAACTTTTATTCCGAATTAAATGAAACAATCCTCAGCGATGTTCGAATCCGTGGTCGATCGATGAAATACGAACAGGGATAAGTGATAGAATCTAATGCAAAGAAAAGATGTTCCTTTTCTTTTTTCATCGCCGTATTCTTATCGCTGAGATAAAATTTGGTAATTATTTACAAAGCGGTCGATCTCAACATTCTGACTAATTTTCTTCTATAAATATAATCGTCACTCGGTTTTAGTCATATTTGCAAAAACATATTCGATACTATATATGGTAATTTACTATTTACAACACGTGTGTTATTGATCTGAGGTATCCTACGGTACAAACCATACAGCTGTAGACAGTAATGCAGACAGTAATGCACATACACAAACTGTAGAACGTGTCTGGCGGGAAACCAGAGCAAACACTACACGGTATGGAAATCGCAAAGGACGTTATATTGGCTATTTAGCCAAGTTTCTATTTCGACAGCGGTATGATTTGGATAGTCGAATAGTTACGTTTCTTAAAATAATGGCTGAAATATTTTTTCAATTTCGAATAAACGATAATATAATATAAAGTTTTATATAAATTCTAAATTATTTAATAGCTAAATTTATTTCATGCTACCGTTACCAAGACACTCAATAATTATGATCACTTGTCGCATCTATTTGTTTGTTTCTGGCATAGACGCAATTATTATTATTATTAGTGTATAGTATAATACCAGTACAAGTACCAAACTAATAACCAATATCAGTTCGGTAGAAAACGATCTAGGATCTAAGATGAAACCCTCTATTTCGCCTTTCCGCGAATTAATTTTGGTTGGGCTAGATAAAAATACAGCCGTCTACGTTACAAACAATTCAACAAATTTAATAATTTGTTGTAATATAGATACGATAACGCGTAAACAATACCAGGACTGTGTGCGTAATGTGAACACTTCCTGTCAGAAGCAGAATATGATATAGGGTAGGATATATTTTTGCTGATATTTAGGAAATTGAAACCGAGCGGCGTATATATGTACAAGGAAAAATTGTTCAGAATGTTAACCTTGATAACATCTCTTAAGGTCATTGAAATCGTTGAGATCGTTCACTTGGTAAATAATTACTCAAAATTTTCTTATGGATAAGCAAATATATGTATTTGATAAACGTCTATTAACGGCAAGAGCAATGAAAGAAAAACAGTTTCCCGAGACGCGCGAATAACAGGAGAATTTCGTTTTGCATCTTATGGAAGTCACGGAAGGCGGACCTTAATCAAAGATACTTTAGCTCTCATTACCAGGTTGACGTTAGCGAGAACGAAGAAAAAATCGTTATATTTATTTTCAGTAATATTAACCGTTTAACGATCCAGTTATTAATAATCTTCGATTTGGTACACCTAACGATACCTGTGACATCTGAGACACTCGAGGAGTCTCCTGAACGTACGTAAAATCAGGATGATGAACTGGATGAATGGGCTCCGTTATATATTTAGTTTAGTGCAAACACGATTCCGCGACAACGATTAAGAAAAAAATATATAACAGGAAAAAAAGAAAAAGCGGTAAAAAACGGTGGAACTGCGTTACGTAATCTGGCCAGGAAAAAAAAATCTGGACAGTACGAGGAATAATCAGTGTTAACTTTGATCGAAGATATTCAATGATACTTAACGACGAAAGCAGGAACATGAATATATTATTATTCATAAAGCAAGTTAATAAAGTTAAGTTAGGCATAAATATGAGTCATAATCAGAAAATTCAGTTGAAATTTATTAACCGCGTATATTACAAAATTTATAAGAAAAATTAAATTGTACGTTTGAAGATTTGCTTTGAAGGTTTTATTACAAGCTTGATCTTATATCATTTAGTATCTTATTTTATGAGGCACGTAAGTTGCGAATGGAATAATTGATTTCGAATAAAGTAACCAGAAAATGAAGCCTGCGAAAATTATTTAGTATATAATAAATAAAATAGCGGACATTTCAGTAGATAATACTTATGGTTGCCAGTGTACGTAGCAATCCGAATATGTCGAAACGCAATTAGCTCGAGACTTAACAGATTTGTTTGTCGATTTAGACAATAGTGAAGATTTGTCTACCGATCGCAATATCGATAATCCGATTATTTAAAGACTATGTGTCTACCAATTCGATTAATTAGCATCGAAGGTTAACACTTGTTCGGTCTCCACTTGTCGGAGCTGTTTGCGGTGTATTTAACGCTCTTACATAAATTAACCATCGATAATTATTATACATACATGGTGTTTGTGTCTCAGACACGTTTGTTTTACAATGGTCAAAATGTATCGAATCCTGCGGATCGTAATTTGATTAACAGTATTCCCAAGAAAACTATAAACGTTGAAGTGTTCGTTAAGAGATCAGCCATTTCATATGCAATTTACTATATTTGATCATTATTATCATTAGTAGAATACATTATTAAATTCTATTATTATTCATATTAATAAACAATAATAAATAGGTAAACTTTTATAAGAATAAAAGAGAGACGTATCAGAGAAGATCGAGGCTAATGAAGTAATAACGATTAGAAATGAACGTTTAATAATTGGGTGGCATAACGGCAAAGCAATTTACAGCAAACCGAACACGAACGATTAAACGACGATACATCGACCAATAAAGTACCTTTTTACGTTGACACTCGATCTCCATACACGAATGAATTTAACGTTTTAATGAGCTGAATCTATAAAAAGCATTCGACGTTTACGTCGATTGAAATAGAGATTTTAAATTGCAACGAGTTACGTGAACCAATTTAGTTATCACTGTTAACGATCGAACGTTTCCAAACAAACGGCCTCGCAGAAAACTTCTATGGAATTAAAGAATCTGAAAAAATCTGATCCATGGGAAGTTAATTTGTGTCCTATACATATTATACAAAATCTGTAATATTTCGTCGATATTTCGTCAGAAATCATATTAATTCCTACTCTTATTTTTAGATATATATATATATATATATATATATATATATATTAATTTCGAAATATATAGATATATAGTAGATTCTTCCTTATCCAATGTCACATTTCCATTCGAAAGAAGACAATTGGTCAACGCAACCGAAGCGATATTTTATTGAAACTTTGCAAGTCAAAAATTTCAAGTTATCGACACTAATAAATTCCTTTGCATAATAACGACAAGCTTGATAGGAAAACAAATGAAACCGTATATGAATATTTTGCAAATAACAAGTCAATTGATTATCCTATCTGTTAAATGTAAGATTGTAGAAAAGACAATGTATAATCTGTAAATTAAATAAATCATCAATAAGTATGAAGATACATAAAAAAACAATTTAA